ATAAGCTTTTGGAGTTTTATGGCAAGTACCTGAACCTGTCAAGCAATTCCATCAAAACTTCACAAATATATCTGATCTATAATCGGACACACAACTGCCAAGGTTCATGATACTGACTTTATTATTTTTCCAAATATTAAGAATAAGCTTTTAGACTTGCATGGTAGCTACTCGAACCTGTCAAGCAATCGCACCAAAACTTTAGAAATATGTCTGACCTATAATTGGACACACGACTGCCAAGTCTCATGAATTTGACTTTATTATTTTTCCAAATATTTAAAATAAGCTTTTAGACTTGTATGGGAGCTACTCGAACCTGTCGAGCAATTCCGCCAAAACTTCAGAAATATATTTGAGCCATAATCGGACACACAACTGCCAAGTTTCATGAATCTGACTTTATTATTTTTCCAAATATTTAAAATTAGCTTCTGGAGTTGTATGGCAGGCACCCGAACCTGTCAAGCAATTCAAATAAAACTTCACAAATATATCTGATCTATAATCGGACACACAACTGCCAGGTTTCATGAATCTGACTTTATTATTTTGCCGAATATAAAAAATTTGCTATTGGAGTTGTATGGCAGCCGCCCGAACCGGAGCAGCTATCCCATTATAATTTTTAGAGCATGTGTAGAATATAATTGGACACATGTATACAAAATTTTATATTTATAGCTTTATTAGTTTTTGAAATATTTAAAATAAACTCTTGGAGTTGTATGGCAGCTACCCGAACCCGTTGTCCGACTTAGTCCAATAACAATAGGGTTCGTCCTTGGCACAAAAGAAAAAACTTGTGAAAGTTTGGTGTCGATTGCATTATTCGTTTTTGAGTTATCGGACGGACGGACGGACGGACGGACGGACGGACGGACGGACGGACGGACGGACATGTCTAAATCGACGCAGAATTTTACGCTGAGCAAGAATATATATATATGTCCATACCGCAGATGAATCCTTCAAGTAGTTACAAACTCCATACCAAAGTTAATATACCCTTCACGAAGTGCAGGGTATAAAAATATTTCATTGTAACTGTACTTATGCTCCTATTTTTGAAAGTTTGTATGAGCATCATTACCACAAATCGACTTACGATATACATAATCGTTTTTAGCACTTTTCCAAAAAATTTTTGAAAAAAAGTGCTTATTAGTTTCACTCTGTCCGTCCGTCCGTCCGCCCGTCCGTCTGTCCGTGTGTCTGTTTACAAAACTTCTACATTCTTAAAGATAGAAAGCTGAAATTTAATACGTACATAGATCTTTACTAGAAACTTATTTTCGTAGAACAAAATTTTTACCTATCTCCCCCCCTCTAGAAGTTATACCCCCCCAAAGCACTAAAAATGGCCTACTTTAACTATTTGTTGCAATGAAACCATAAACATTTTTGAAATTTTGCAAACGCAGAAAGGCAGTGGCTTGCTTCCCCTACCGCGGTATACTACAGTTAAACTTTAGAAAAACAAAATGGCCGTTCAAATTTACCGTTATCTACAGTCCTTTTTTTCCAAATTTTTGATGTCATTTTTCTTCTAGACCCCAGCCTGTAGAAGCTTGAAATTTTAGAAGCTTTTAGACATTAACAAGTAGTTCATTTCGTTAGAAGAAATTTTTTTTCCATCCACCCCCTCTCAAGTTATGGCCTCTTGAAATTTGTAAAATTTGCATTTTTGATACCTTATATTTCTGAAACCGCAAGCTTTTTCAAATTTCTATAAACGTAAAAAATTAACGGTAAATTCCATGACATTAAAAAATATAATTATTTTTCTTAACTCACACAATTAACCCTTAAAATCGAGCATTATGTTAACCCCTGTTTATATTAATTTTTGCTTTATTTCAAAGACTGCATAAATGGTTTATCCTAAATATATGCAATCCTAGAAATAGTTTCGTTTATAAATGAAAATAATTTTAATAGTGTGGTGGATATACAAAGACTGTTTTTAAAAGCAGTATTTTCACTTGTTGAAAGGAAAAATGCTACAATACAAACCATTGGTTTGACCCAACTTTATTTTCTTTATACTTGCTATTGTAAGTAGTAGTTACAACAAGAACGTTTGGAGAAAACGAATCCTACAAAAATGCAAGTACATATACTTATGATTGATTTGTTCTGTGTTTGTTATTTGAAGTTGCAAGTACGCTGCCTACTGTAGGAATGATTGTAAAATTGCGAAATTGTAATATAAATAGTGAATAAAATAATTAAGAACACAATTTATCAAAAAAAATTGTTTTCATTCAATTGAGATTTTAATTCAGTTTACATAATGCAGTTGTCATAATAACACAATGTTTCCTTTACAGGTATTTTTATAAATAAAAAATTTTATGTAGTAGTTTCGACATCACTACTTTCCTCGAAATCTTCCAGCCCCTCCAAAGCTGAATTGGTTGTATGCTCTAAGTTTTGATAAAAGCTGTGATGGCATAAATTTTGTAAGTTCCATCAAGTCCTTGTACTTTTGAGAAGAAATTTTTAGAGATTCTTCATATACAATATTAGGTTTTTCATTTGGTAATCCTTTTGAACGTTTTTTGCGGCCAATAATTGTTTCGGTAGTATACAAAACAAGTGACGAAAATGTTGACTCTTCTTCTTCTTTTCCTAATTCTTAAGAGTATTCTAAAAGAGTATTTAAATAAAAGTATGTTGGGTTTCGCGCTATTTACTTGCAGTTGTCTAATGTTATTCCATTTAATTTTGATATTATTTGAATCCTTAATTAAATTCACCATATTCGTAAATTTTGTAAAATCAAAAAATTCTTTATTAGACATTTCATAGACGTTATAGTATGTTGCATTAACTTTGCAATTTCTTATTAAGGAATACCATTGCGAAGGAACGTAAAGTTTGTTGTGTTTTTTAGATTTTTCAATTAGTGAATGAATATTGTCACCCTCATTTTGGGTAATGCCCTTTTTCAAAAAACTGTGCTTGATATTAATATTCATTAATTTAGAGTTATTTTTTTTTTTTTCCTTCTTCACTCCTATAAGGAGCATAGGGCTAGTTCATGATATCTATCATGTCCTAGTTTCTATAGTCATAGAGAGTTAACTAGGTAGGTGACTAGCCTACCGTAGTTTTTATTTATATTAAATATTTCCGTTTATTAATATTTTACTGCTTATTTTTCTTAGTCTTTTTAGTATCGCATATTATGAATATTTGAAAATTCCTTGTATAAATTTATTAATATTGCATATTAAGTTATATAATATTGAATATAATTTTTATAGTGACCTGACCGGGGTTTGAACCCGAGACCCTTCGGTTAAAGGGCCGGTGCCATAACCACTGCACCAATGGTCAGATAATTTAGAGTTATTAATATTAATTAATTATCACGTAAAGTCAGTGGAATTGAAGTAGAAGGTTGATCTGATTTAAGATGTTTAGAATTTGAATTTTCCCAAAATAAAGAGTTTGGATCATTATTATCTATAGAAAAAATAAAATTATCATTTTTATGATAAGTAATATCAAAATGTTACCTTTTTTCTCTTCATTATTATGCGAAGTTGACGGAATTTTAATAAAATTTTCAATTGCCGCAGTACTGGGCTGGCAATATACTGAACTGCCCACGTTATTCCGTTCATTTGCAAGTGCAACTGGACACTCAGAAGTTTTATTTCTGGTAAAAACATTTTCTAGATTCAGTTTTTTCTTAGCTTTTGATTTTATTAATATCCTCATTTCAAAACTTTTTTTAAAAACAACACAAAAAACTTACGATTTCTCATTTTCTTCACAGCTATTTTTAAGTTATTTAAAAATATAATACATATATAATTGAAAATATAATATAATTGAATACAAATAAATTATTTTTATAAAAACAAACTTTTAACAAAACACTATTTTTGTAGCTTTCAAAATTATTTCTTTAACTAATTTAACTAGTTTTCACATTTAAATAATGTTGTACACTCTAAAAAATTTTGGTTGGATTTTACTACTTTTAAAGTAGGCAACATGTTGCCTACTTTAAAAGTAGTGAATTCCTATTAAAGTGTTATTCTAATTTTAGTGTAAAAAAATTTCTCCAAAAGAGTGTGTTTTCGAAACAAATTTTTAACGCGAATTTTCCTAAAAAAAATTGTAAAACGCGCAAAAAATAAATAAATCACATGAACTTTTCGACAAAACTCACATTTTTAGTGTGAGTTACCACGATTTAAGTGAAAAATTCTATAGCGACATCGTAAAAAACCACTATAGTACCGCGAAACCCCACCAAATAAATGTAATATCCAACATTAATATTTTATAGATTTAAAAAGAATTTATCAAAAAGAAAATATTTTTTTTTTAATAAAATTTGTCAAGTTGACGAATAACTTCTGTATGTATGCTTTACATATTACATCAATTGCTTGAAAATTTCATTTAAAAAAATATTATTTTCTTTTTAATACATTTTTCTCTTTAAATATATAAAATAAAAGTACTGGATGTAAGTGTGATTTTGAACCACATAGAAATATAAAATATAATGGTATAAATATTTATAACCTCATTATCTAATAGCCATTTAAAAAAATTATGTATGGAATGTTCATTTTGTTACTTTATTGAAAAGTATTAGTTATCAAATTATTACAGTACATATTACTATTTTGATAAAATTTTGAACAAAAACATATAAATTTTATAACATTTACATGAAAATGAGAATACCTATTTATTTCATATATAAAATTTTGTTCAACTAAAAATAAAAAGAAAATTAAAGAACATTTCAATAATTCTATAACGAAAGTCAAAAAATGTTTACATTACTTATTATTTTGTAATCCATTTAAAAAAAAAAACATAAAACTTAATACTTGAAATTTAAAGTATTTAAATAAACAACAAAAACCAAAAAAAAAACACATTTCAACAATTAAATTAAATCAAAAATTACTTAACAGCACAAACTTAATAAAATTCAGTTTTGTCTTATTCAAATATGCACTTCTTTAAAGTGAACTAAGCTTTACTATTAAACTATTAATTTTATTTAAGCTGTTCATTGATTTTTTTATTCCTCGTACACCATCTGGATAATGTTGAAGGAAGTATCTAACAAAAAATTCCATAAATTGCGAAATTTCTTTGGGAAATATTATGTTAAGCACATAATAATAACAAACAAGTAACTCCAACATTCCGATAAAATCAGAACTTACGAATTCAAACACATTAACTTGCACCTTTTCAATAAAAATGTAAATTAAAGCATCTCCCTCCAAATCCGTTTCTAAAATTAGAAATTGTAAACTTGTAACTAATATAATACCAAAAATTATAAAATCAAAATATTTTTAACTTACGGACTATGCCTGCCCATGGTGTATTTGTAGGAATCTCATCCTTCAGTGTATTTAATGTTGTACCAAACTGAAATTGAAACCAATAAATTAAACTTAAGTATTATTAAACAGAAAATAGTACTTACTGTAAATTTTTTGAAAATAAAGTTGACATCTTCTTTAAAATAGCTCACAAGGTTTGAAACAATATTTTCATCAGTCTCTAAATTATGTTTTCTTATATCCTTGTTTTTACAGTTTAGTAAAAATTCCTTAATTTTGGTCTTAGCCAATTCAAAATTAAGTTTTATGTTTTCTGAATCTTTTTTCATTAAACAACTGAAGTGCTGTTTCAAAATATCTTTGTCGAAAAGATATGGCCAATTGGTTTTGATCTCGCAGATATCGGGAATGACTTCTCTATTATTTAAGTACAGTCTTTGTTCAGCATATGTTTCTTTCATATATTCCTCTATTTTCTTACAATTATCAGCCGTTATTTCTTCACATTTACTCATCTCTTGCAAAAATTTCTGCTTGAATTGTGCAGAAGTTGCAGTATGATTTTCAGAGTTGTGTTTCTTTGGTTGCCAATTAGGACAAGTTTTTTGAAGAACATTTGAGATGCGTCTAGCTTTCAAAGGAATATTTAAATCTATTTCTGGTATTTTTCGTTTAGGTGCACGATTTAAAGTATTATTCCTATTTTTCATTTTTGTAATCAAAGCCAATGGTTCATTAGATATAAATTTACCATTTTCATCTTTCTCAATTATTGAGTCAGGAAATTTATCAGCTGCTTGCTGAGCTACTGATCGAAAGACTGACATCGGGATGTAAAATGAAAAAGCTCTTAATTCGTCCACAATTACATTGGCAAGAGCTGTAAGTCTTTTATTTAGCTTTTTTTTGTTTTCTAGCATTTCTGAGACGTCATGTGGCATTTTGTTCCAATTTTAAACTGTGAGAACAACCGTGAAACTTGCGAATTTGTTTCAGATTTTGATGATAAAGCCGTGCTACTCATAGATAATGTCGTATCTAATGAGGGTGCAGGACTGGAATGCTTAGTAATTTCGTTTTCAGCTATAATAATATATTCAGTATTTTCTAAAATTCCGGATATGTTATCGTTGACTGGAGTTTGTACGTTATCAGATTGTATAAGCTTAGCTTTCGAGTCTGCTGAAAACCATTCATTTTCTGAGTTTAATAACATAAAAACACAATCAGATTTATTTTTTGAATAATATTCTAAACGGCATCCTCACACACGACTGATCCATTAGATTCCAATACTAATTTACTGCCTTGCATATGAAAACATTTTGCTGAAAATATTTAATTTATTTTTAGTTTTAACTTCCATATTGATTAATTTTGAAAAAATTGTTGATATATATTTGTAAAATTTACCTTTGTTAATAACAGCTTCAATTGATGGATTGCACATGAATACATTTTTGACTTTTCTGTCATTACTCCAAATATGAAATAAATATTGATCCATTTTATATTTTAAGTTGAAAGTATTTAAATTATTTTATTTAATATATTCGATCTTATTTGCTATATCTTTATATTAATATGTGTTTATATAAATTGAAGTTAAATTAATATTTTTGAGATTTTGTTTGAATAAAATTAATTAATATTAAATTTGTCAATATTTGTAATTGAATTAAAAAATTTAGAAGTTGATTTAGAAAAAAAAAATTAATGTATTATTTGATGTTTATTTTTTAAAAATATGTTATTAATCATTATAAGACAAATATTTTTATAAAATATGAGCGCATTCTTCGGAATAGTAATATTGGTTTCGAAGATTTAAAATATTTATTGGTTTCACTTCTAAGATGTTCTTAATTTCAACTAAACAATATGATGGTTCGATTTTATAGCTTTCATGTAAAATAAGATTTTCATTGTACCACATTTTTTTTAACTTCCCATAAAATATTGCTTGATCATATGATCTATTCAGGAATATTGCTTTGATAATTAAAATTTCTAAGTTGTTATCTTCATCTAAATCAAAAAGAATGGCATCATTTTCTTTATATATTGTGTTAAGATACGAAATTTTTTTGGTAACAAATACAAACTGTGATGGAATTTCTATATTGAACAATGTTTTTGAAAAGTATTCAACGTGATCGGAAACTATAGTGTGTTTAAAACGACTCTCATTAATATTTGCCTGGCTTTCTTGATGGCTTCTTGCAAGTGTGTAAGTTATATTTTTAAAATTTTTACACAATTTAACTTTGTTCTTGAAGAATTGGTGTTTTTGTTCAAATGGTAATGTCCACAAGTTTCTTAGCGGCCCAAATTTTCTTATAAGATCCGGATAGTGGTGAATAAAATGGTGCTTTGGTCTTAATGGTGATTCCGGAAAACAATCTTTTCTATATTCAAAATAAACGTTTATATGAAAAGATAATAATGAAACTGCATCTTCAGATATAGTCGGGGAGCTAATTATGCGACACATTTCAATCATTGTTGCTAGAAATTTCCACACTGATTCTTCAAAGTCATGAATTTTCCCTAACATTATCAATGGGATGAGAATTAAAATATGAAAAACTTCATTGCACTTTCCAGGAATTTTTTTCATATTTTTTTCTATATTCGGAAAGTTTAAGTGTAGCTTAAATTTTTTTCTAAAATATGATAAAGAAATATTAATAAAATCTAGTGATATGTCATGATTTTTTATAAAATAATTTATTATCAACATCAGATCATACGGTATAATTCCTTCATATAAATCGTGACCCAAACAAGGAGGTAATCCAGGAAAACAAACATGAAAATATTTAATAGTATTTAGACAAGAATCAAATTTTATTCCGTATACCATATTTTCTATTCCAGAATGTAATTCGACAACACTCATATTATAGTTTTCTATGCTTCTTGTTTCAGAACGGGTGAGATCATAATTCTTAAGCTTTTTACGTGTGTAAAAGCAATATCTGCAAAAGAAGTCCGTGGAACTGAAATTCTCACAAAATCCCCCTATTTGATGACTACCCAAATTATCTCCCAGCATTGCATACAGTGTACCGAAGTATTGCGTTTCAAGTTGTGTAATGGGATTAAAAATTTGAATACCTTCATCTTCTAATATACGAATATCTTGAAGCACTGGTTCCAATATTTTGTGAAAACCAAAAGTTTTGACGTAATTTTCCTTGCATAAAAGAACAAGTTGAATATTTTCAATTGAAGATCTATATTTTTTATTTAAATTTCCTATGACCATATAACATCCAAGAAGTTTATGTTTCTTTTTTGAAGATGATAGAGGACTGCATATCTCAAATGCATCTTGAAACAATATTATTTCAATTTTATTTCTATTTCTTAAAAATAAATTTTCTTTGAAAACCGTTCCGTCATTGTAATCCCTATAGATTTTATCTTTTGATTTTTTTGGTTCTGTAAATATATGTACGAAAGATCTATTTGCCATCAAAAATTTTATAGTTTCCAAAATCGGAACATAATAAGTAAAACAATTTCTATGGTATAAATCGTTTCCTAAAAATATTTTTTGTGGACTTACATATTTATAATTATCCATTACAAACTTTTTTATTTTGTACGGGGATTGAAATTGTTTTAAATCGGAAATTAAAGTCGAATGTGTTATAATATCAATGATTTCGGTTTCATGTTGTGAAATTTTTAGAAGCTCACATAATTTTTTTAGTTTTTCAATATTTTCATTTGAGGTATTAAGTAAAATTTGATGAAGTTCATTAAAAAGAAAATTCAAAGCACTCTCTGTTAATTTAAATTTAGATTTTAATTGAATAAATAAAGAAGAAAACACAGTATTTCTCTTATTTTCATTCGATAACTCGTTAGCTGAATAACTTTCATTCACCAAATCCATACTTTCACAACGTTCATCTTGATTAGAAATATACGTATCAATAACTTCAGAATTTTCAATTGATAAAGCAATATTTTCGAAATGTTTCTGATATTCACTGTGATTTCTATATGTATGTGATCTTAACGTTGATTTATTTTTTATAAGAAGATGACAACCAGGAAAGGGGCACTGGATTGTCGAATTCATATTTAAATGAGAATTTAGATGAGTAATAATTTCTTGAACAATTTTTGATTGGAAACTGCATTGCTCAATAGAACAGGTTAACATTTTCGTTGAATATTGTTTTTTTGCAGCCTTACCTTCCTTTATATTGAAATGAATACGAAACCAATGACTCTTATAAGCCTCATAACTTGAAAATTTTTTAAAACAATTTTTGAATAGACAATCAAAGGGAACATTCTTTTTTGTTGTATGTAAATACAGATGTTTATGATACAAGCTAAGAGCTTTAGTTTTGAATAAATTACAAATATTGCATTTGTATGAACTCATTTTTGAAAATATAAAGATTTAACCTCAATTTACGCAGTACTTATTATAATTTTATAATACGTGTATTATATTGTAAATACTACTTCTTTTTATAAAATATTATTAACTTTTATAATTAAAATTTTATTTTTTTTTATTATTTTTCACTCCCGATATTTATTTATAATTAAATTTCAGCACAAACTTTTGCAAAAACTAATTCACATCGAATGAACATAAACAAATTACGACCTGTCACAGCGGCGTCTCTTTTCAACTGAGCAAAACAAAACATGACGAAAAGGCAACAAAAATTTACCGTTTGTGTTGTGTACCAATTAATGTGCGTGAATTCCTTCGTAAAAGTGTGAAAATATACTAATTTTGTGATTTTTAACATTTACATAATATCAATCACGAAAAAATTGGGGATTTACGCTAATTTTGAGAAAAACGGCTATCAATGTGAAATCGAACCCTCAATGTTTATTTTACCGCATTTAATATGTGTTTTAACACTTTTTTTAGGTTTATTATCGTGCAACTTTGTAGGAATTTACTATCATTTTTTAGAGTGTACTTTATCGAACATTATATCAATATCAATTAACTATTAAGAACTGACATAAAAGTCCGTTATTTACTCTTGTTTCTCTTTTAAAAGAAATAAAGTTGGGTCAAACCAATGGTTTGTATTGTAGCACTTTTCCCTTCAACAAGTGAAAATTCTGCTTTTAAATACAGTCTATGTATACCTATCAAACTATTAAAATTATTTTCATTCATATACAAAACTATTTCTAGAATTGCATATATTTAGGATGACGCTTATATGCAGTCTTTGAAATAAAGCAAAAATTAATATAAAAAGGGGTTAATAAAATGCTCGATTTTAAGGGTTAATTGTGTGAGTTAAGAGAAATAATTATATTTTTTAATTTCCTGGAACTTACCGTTAGCTTTCTGCGTTTATAAAAATTTGGAAAAGCTTGCGGTTTCGGAAATATAAGGTGTCAAAAATTCAAATTTTACAAATTTCAAGAGGTGATAACTTGAGAGGGGGTGGAGATGGAAAAAAATTTTCTTCTAACGAAATGAACTATTTGTTAATGTCTAAAAGCTCCTAAAATTTCAAGCTTCTACAGGCTGGGGTCTAGAAGAAAAATGACATCAAAAATTTGGAAAAAAAGGACTTTAGATAACGGTAAATTTGAACGGCCATTTTGCTTTTCTAAAGTTTAACTATAGTATATCGCGCTAGGGGAAGCAAGCCACTGCCTTTCTGCGTTTGCAAAATTTCAAAAATGCTTATGGTTTCATTGCAACAAATATTTAAAAAAGGCCATTTTTAGGGTTTTGGGGGGGTATAACTTCTAGAGGGGGGGAGATAGGTAAACATTTTGTTCTACGGCAATAAGTTTCTAGTGAAGATCTATGTACGTATGAAATTTCAGCTTTCTATCTTAAAGGGTGTAGAAGTTTTGTAAACAAAAAAAGTGTCCACGGACGGACGAACGGACGGACAGAGTGAAACTAATAAGCACTTTTTTCAAAAAATTTTTTGGAAAAGTGCTAAAAACAGCAGTTTTTCTTCGTATATTTTACACATGCAAAAATAAATTTGTTGTTGTTTTTGTACGAACGTATTTACCGTAACTTGTACATACCATCATAAAGTTATTTATTAGCTTCACATAAAAATATCCTAACATATATGTACTTATTAAAAAAGTAATATGCATAATCTTATCGTAACTTGACTTACACAAACTATTTCTGCAAAAAAGTCGGTCATATATCTCGTATGTTAATTTACTACCATGTCAATATTTATATTGTACAATCTAGTATGTAGTAAGTCTACTTACGATAGACTAGATTGGAGATTTTGAAGATTTGATAGAAGGTGGTAAGTCTTTTTTCAGTTATAACTTTTGAGGGAGGCGTCGTACCGTTATGAAATTTTGGCAGTAGATGCGTACATAATAGTCACTACATAAATAATTTCGTAAAAAATAAGTGAATAATAAAATTGAAATTATGAATTTACAGAAACAAAATTTAACAAAATCTCAGATGTTTAAACCTCACGAAACTTTAGAACAAACTTAGTTAGAAGA